CATATTAGCGTTTTTCACCAGACAGAAGCATGGGCATGTAAAAAAAAAATCAATTACGAGATAGAGCATACTTTAATACACAATTGATTGAATTTTGGAGTACACAGGTCGTGTTTTGATGTAGTTATTGATGGATTGTGATTTTGCCAAACGGACAGACACACACACAAAACACTAGAAAGTAAGAGCAGAGCAGTGCGGCTGATGGACAGCGTCCTCAGGCTATCTATCAGAGGAGTAGTTTAAGTAACGTGACTGTCCAAAAAAGGCTAGACTCCTCTGAGAGATAGCCTGAGCTAGCTGAGGTAAGGTTGACACTTGACACTTCACACTTGAGTCCTTGAGTGACCTTGACAAAGTGAGTTCAGAGTTCAGACAGACGTTGACTAAGAGTCTAAGACCCCGCTGACAAAGAAAGACTCGGCTGACTGAGAGGACCACTGACGCCATCTATCACCAACCGACGTCATTCACCTCCGGGCTTTCAACTTTGGTGAAGTTTGAAGGGTAACACCGAATTTCATTCCCCATCGATCCACATCTCACCCAGAATCTTCTTCTCGCACACATTTGATAGACCCCGTTTTCATCTTGTCTCATCTTCTTCTCTACTTTTCTCCATTTGATGCCTCTGTTGGATTCAACCCCTAGCTCATTTCTCCTCTCAGGTATGCCTGATCAGTTGATTCACCTTTCCTTTTTCTCCTCCTATAGTTGACACCGGAAACTACGAATCCTATTACCGTCTAGCGGCATCAGGACCTCTCTATCTCCCTCATGAGTGAATCCCCGACGAGCGATCATGACCAGATGCAGCGCGAGGCTGACGTCGTTGCACGGCATCTCCCCGAAGGCTATTCGGCCGGCATTGATGCCATCAATGACAATGACCATCCATCTTCCTCTGCTCCTCAACTTTTCCAGCCTAACGGGGAATCCTCCCTTAAACTGCTAGGTGGTGATGTCCACCGTGCCCTATTCAAGATCAAGGACCGGCCCAAACTCCACCAGCGGTCGGCCACCTTTGCTCATCCCAGTCCTCGAACCCCCCAGACTTTCCCGGTCCCCGAAAACACCATCAGTGCAACCGAGCAATTGCAACCTGGTGGGTTTCGACGGGAGTTTGTTCTACAACGCCAAGATACCGGGCTGCAGGAATTCACCCAGATTACAAAGAGCTTCGTGTCCTTCCTAGAACTTTTTGGCAGTTTCGCCGGCGAAGACCTGGCTGAATCCGAAGAAGAATATGCTATCGAAGATGAAGAGGCGGTTGAGGAAGGAGAAACGAGGCCTTTACTCGGCCGGCGGAAGCTCTCGCGCCGGGTTTCCAGAGTGGGCGATGCCGGAATGGTGAAGTCGTTCTTCACGCTTTTGAAAGCCTTCATTGGCACTGGTATCCTATTTCTCCCCAAGGCGTTCAAAAATGGTGGGATACTGTTCTCATCGATCACTTTGGTCGCGGTATCGGTGGTCTCCTGTATCTGCTTCCGCTTGCTTCTCCATTGCCGGAAACAGGTCGGGGGAGGCTATGGGGACATCGGGGAAGCCATTGCCGGATCGAAGTTTCGCACCCTCATCCTAGGATCCATCTTCCTTTCACAGATTGGTTTCGTCTGCGCGGGCATCATATTCACGGCCGAAAATGTCGATTCATTCCTCCGAGCGGTCCTGAAGGGCAATAATCCGATGTCGACCAATGCTCTGATAGGGTACCAGCTCATTCTCCTGATCCCTCTTACTCTGATCCGGAATATCTCCAAGCTCGGACCTGCTGCACTTCTTGCGGACGTGTGCATCCTAATTGGACTGGTCTATATCTGGTGGTTTGACATCTCCACTTTGTCAACCCAAGGATTCCATCCATCAGTGGAGCTGTTCAACCCGAGTAGCTTCACCCTCACGATTGGATCCGCGATTTTCACATTCGAAGGAATCGGCCTCATTTTGCCTATCCAGTCATCCATGGCTGAGCCGCAGAAGTTCGACCGGCTTCTATACCTAGTCATGGGGATCATCACAGTCATATTCACATCAGTGGGCTTCTTATGCTACGCCACCTTTGGCGAGAACACACGAGTGGAAGTCATCAGCAACTTTCCTCAGGACAACAAACTTGTGAACGCCGTCCAATTTCTTTATTCGCTTGCTGTCCTCGTAGGAACCCCCGTGCAACTCTTTCCCGCTGTCCGTATCATCGAGACCTCGCTCTTTGGGTCACGTTCCGGGAAACAAAACATTTGGACCAAATGGAGAAAGAATGCATTTCGAACGGTCCTGACTATTGCTTGTGGCCTGATTTCCATCGTAGGCGCAAAGGATTTAGACAGATTTGTTGCCCTGATTGGCTCATTTGCGTGCGTACCTTTGGTCTACATATATCCCCCATTCTTACATCTTCGGGGCGTCGCGGACTCGAGGGCCTCGAAAGCATTTGATCTTGCTCTCATGGCGGTCGGAATGGTAGCCATGGTGTACACCACCTGTATTACTATTTTCCAGTGGTTTAAGGCTTGAAGATCCAATAAATTATCTATTATTTTTCATTGTGTCACTGATCTCGCTGGATATTAAATCGAGTTTCCTTGTCTCGAATACTCAGTCAATCTGGTGGTGGCCAGGATGGCAGTACTTACAATGGATCGGTCCGCATACTGCTTTTCGACGCCTACCACCAACCTTTGCCTGCAAAGCTGCTTTATGACGTCGTCGCCGCCGCCGCCGCCGGCGGATTCAGTCGGCTCCTTATCCAAGGAACCAGAGACGTCAATGACAGAATGTGGTACTGGCGCAGACCGCTGTGCGCTGGGGAACCCATCGCCTTCACAACTTGGCACGGAAGGGGCATAGAAACTTTCACTCAATTCCGTCGTGGGGTGATGAATTAGTGTGTGTAGCCATCACTCAAGTTGTGTGACGGAGCATGGATGCTCTTAATCTTTGACCTTAGAACGTCATTCCTCATGCTTTAGCGATGGATCCAAGGGACGTGGTCAGAATAGCATGTTACATTCCTCATAAACCGCGTCTCTCTCATCTAATACATGCGACTCGGGGTCATCGATTGGTAACAGCGTATGGGAACTATAAAAGCTCCCCTTCTGCATTCAGCTCTTCGCCATCCTCATCATCCTCCCACTCCACCATCGCGTCCGCCGCCTCCGCCTCCCTGTGGACTTGAGCCAAGCCGCATAGTTCCTCCACGAAACCTTTCTCATTCACTGCCCTTCGGACAAAATCCCATCCCCCCTCGTTGTATGCGTCAATTACCTTGGACGAGCAGGCACTGCAGTAGGGATACGAAGGTCCGGAAAGAGTACGTGAGGAGAAGTCGGAGAGGAAGCCACGAAGCTGGTGGGGTAGCGCGCCGAGTGGATGCGGTTTTGAGTCGCCGGACGCTGATGGTGGGAGAGGGGACGGGGTGGATGAAGGAGGCGCATGTGCGCCGAGCGGGTGCTGAAGAATGGAGACGAACAGTTCGACGAGAAGTGCAGACGCGATGGGAGCAATGCCAGGACGAGTGACGGTGCACTGCTGGTCGAGAGTAGCGTCTTTGAGGGACTGTCGATGGTGTTAGTAATTTATCAACAGGTTGAGAGCCTAAATACGTACGTCCGCCGCTGCGACAATGTCTGAACAGAAGTAACATCCCACTTCTGCTTCGCCATCTTTTCTCGGCGGTAAGCCTTGCCGCATCACGACATACGAATCAAACCCTAACGCAGCATTCATGACGATCTTGCCCGCCGCCTTGCCCATCAACGTCGGTAGCCATCGGCTCTCGCGCGTGTCCATGAGCAAGAAGATAGCATCGTGTTCCTCCACTAGACGTTGGAGCGTCTCAAAGTCTACCTTGGCTTTGTTATCCGCTTCGTTGGACAGGGTCGGATGGCCCAACATCGGCACGGTTATTGCGTGACCTTCGCTCTGTACGCCAGGATAGATCCCCCCCAACGCCTCAGCGGCACGATGCGCCTTCATCGCACCGCCTTCTAAACAGTCCTTGAAATCGAAGAGAGGTTGACGAACAGGGTTCGAGAATGACACGCGTGCATTGTCGACAAAGGTGATTTTCCGCACCCCCCATCCTAGCAGATTCCTCGAGACGTACGATCCCAGAGTGCCAGCGCCAAGTAGTAAACACTTAGTGTTCTTGACAATGTCGAGGTCGATGCTCGGCGCGATCCTCCACTTGATAAGTTTCAGATTCAGATCAACGGCCTGGTCCGCAAGCCGCGTGGGGTCCATGTACTCGGACAGGTCGACAATCCGGCTGCTCAATGTATTTCGATCATTCCTCTCCCAACCCGTCACTTTGGGCATCGTGGAAGAGGTATGTTCCGAGACGGGTTCGGGGACGGTGGATTTCAAATGGAGGATCACGCTATTCGCCTGATCGCGTTTGATATGCGTATCGCGGTAACAGAGGATCTGCACCTCGTTCAAGTGCCAGCGTTGGCGGATGAGCACTAGGAGATTCCGAAGCATCCACGCCGGGTTCTTTGGGTATGTCGATGGGTCGGCGAAACACACGAATCGGTCCTGCGGCTCCACACCCTCGAAGAATCCTGCTTCGAAGGTCGACAATGACGCGACGCTCCAACTGAAACCGAGTTCGTCCGCCGGCTTCGGTGGTCGCGGATGCAAATTCCCGTCGTCTTCGGGCGGGTCGTTCGTGGCCTTGACCCGCTTCGCAAGGAAGAACCCATGTTGCCGAGCGTCGACGGAGTATCTCCAGGTCTGCACCTTGTCCACCAACGCGGTGGTCTCCTTCACTCCCAGATGTATGGCGGGGTCCTCGGGCGCGTGGTCGGACTTCCATGGCGGATCCGAATGCAAGGCGGGAAAGTTAAAGTGGTATTGAAACTTGTACTTCTTCAGGTCGGCAAAAGAAACGGCGGAGAATGAGGAGAGGAGCGAAGGGCAGGAGTAGATGGAGCCATCTTTGATAGCGTCCCATATCTAGCACCGTCAGTTCTGGAACCTAAAGCATGATGGCAAGGCAGACATACTGTTCGTCCGGCGCGTTCCACTACCGCGACGCGATCCGCGTTCTTATAGTCCTCGATGGTATTGAAGTTCTTGATGATCCCCTCCCCTCGATAGTAGCCAGCAGGAACCCTGAAACTCGAATCAGTCGCAAGCCACGCCACGATCTCATCATCCGTACTCATCTGCAGTTAGCGCATTCCCGTGGATCTGCATGCGACAGCTCCGCTCAGGCGCATCTCCGGATCGGATTTCGTACAAGCCCAGCACCTTCCGGGCGGAGTCATCGAGCTTGTCATGGTTGATCTTGAGGTTGGCGAGGCCGGCGAAGAAGCCGAGCTCGAGATCGGAGGTCCATGGGGTATATTGGACGATGTGGGCCATAGCTACATAGTCCGGGGTTCGGGACGTGTATAAGGGCGGAAATGTAGCGAAGTGCAGAGTACGGAGATAGTGAGAGTATTTATATTGACTACGAGTCCGTCAATAATCGCGTGACCTCGACCGAGTCACTGGAGGTTGACGACGGAGAGGCACAGGACAAGTGATCAGCTTTGGAGTTAAGTTGGAGGTCACCAAGCCCCGCAGTCAGCAATGAGGACTGAGGCTGTGACGTCTCGGCCCGGGGAGTGCCACCTCGGCATACCGAAGATGAGTATCGGGCCGAAGATGAGTATCACTGTATCAGGGCCGCAGGGTCCATCCCAGACGCGTCCACAATGAAACTGTGCTCTGTACGGACAGGGCTTGTTCCTCATACTCTCTATAACTAGTACAGTTGAATGTAATCCACCGCTTCAAATCCTTTTTGGAAACACGCAGTGAGTTTGAACACCGCAAGTCAGAATGCTGATTGGCATTTGTGGAAGTACGTCCAACATCGCGGCAACTTTTCATCCTCAAAGACTAACGCCTCCCAGCCATATGTTCGGGGAAGTCCTCCATCGCTTCATATCTGGAGACGCAGCACGCTTTCCAACGAGTCTATATCACTCGATCTGATCGAGTCCCGTCCGAGACCGCCGCTCTAGCGTCAGCAACCCCCAATTCCCGCCGTGCGCACTCCAGCAACCGGTCCGATGCCCCGTCGAACACCAAGAACGGACGACAGGACCTTTCTGGGTCAAGACTGGAGTTCTCCAATGCAACCCAGCTGCTAGAGTTCGTGACGAAGAATTGGAATGAGCATTGGGTGACGACCGATATCTGGGACATCAGCATCGCGGAGATCCTCTCGCAGCGACCCTTCTTCCTACTCGTCAACGTGGATGCTCCGATCCTGGCTCGCTGGGAGCGGTACAGAAGCCGGTATGTCCTCTCATGAGATGAATGCGAACAATCCGACTCAACTCACCCTGTGCAGCTGTCTTGCGACATCCCCCTCCAATCCCGAACCCACCCTATCCACCTTCCTCCAACTCTCCGACTCCTCCTCCTTCCCTCCCTCCACCCACCCCACCACCCTCTCCCACCTCACCCTCCACAACACCTCCCCTACCCTTCCCCTCCTCCACCA